CCTGGTTTTTTGTTTTGTTTTGTTTTTTGTTGTTGTTGTTGTTATACAGTGTGTGTCCAGGCCAAAGGAAATATCCAACAATTCCATTTATTAAGAACTACTTACTGAGGCACCTGGTGGCTCAGTCCATTAAGTGTCTGACTCTTGATTTCAGCTCAGGTGATGATCTCATGGTTGTTAGATTGAGCCTAGTGTCAGACTCCATACTGGGCATGGAGCCTGCTTGAGATTCTCTCTCTCCCTCTTCCTCTCCTCCTCCCCTACTTGAGCATGTGTGTGTACTCTTTCTGTCTCTCACTCTCTCTCTCTCTCTCTCTCAAAAAAAGAAAAAAAGTACTAACTAAAAATTTTCTGTGCAGCAAAGGAAACATCAGCAAAATGAAAAGGCATCCTACAGAATGGAAGAAAGTATTTGGAAATCATGTATCTGATAAGGGGTTAATATTCAAAATATATTAAAAAGTCCTATAACTCAGTAGCAAAAAAATCTGATTAAAAACGTATAGAAAATGAATAGACATTTTTCTAAAGAAGACATTCTTTAGAAATAGTCAAAAGGTACATGAAAAGGTACTCAACATCACTAATTATCAAGGAAATGCAAGTCAAAACCACAGTGAGTTATCACTTCACACCTGTTAGAGTGGCTGTTGCCAAGAAGATAAGAGATAACAAATGCAGACAAGGATGTGGAGGAAAGGGAGCCCTTGTGTACTGTTGTTGGGAATGTAAATTGGTGCAGCCACTATGAAAAATACTATGGAGGTTTCTCAAAAAATTAAAAATAGAACCACCCTAGGATTCATCAATCCCACTCCTGGTTATATATTGAAAAGAAATGAAAACAATATCGAAGAGGTATCTGCACTTCCATGTTCATTGCAGCATTATTCACAGTGGCCAAGTTATGGAAATAACCTGTCAAGGGGTGAATGGATAAAGAAGATGTGAGATATATATGGAACATTAGTCAACCATGAGAAAGAGGAAGAAATCCTGCTGTATGCAACAACATGGATGGACCTTGGCGGACATTATGCTGTGTGAAATAAGCCAGATAAAGACAGATACTACATGGTATCATTTATATGTGAAATCTTAAAAAAAAAAAAAAAGCAAAAAAACAAAGTCAAACACCTAGAAATGAGAGTAGGAAAGTGGTTGCCAAGGGGCGCCTGGGTGGCTCAGTCAGTTGAGCGCCCAACTTCAGC